TGCTATAAAACACAGATACTAAGTATGTTTAAATTGGTAAAGTAATTTTTAAAGCATATTCACGTTGATTAGACAGTAGTTAGTTGATTACGAGAAGAGAAAATGGCTATCAAACTTAGATTCATATAATTTGTAGCCGGAGGTCCAGCTCGGGTGTACTATGCGTCAGCGATGCGGTCAAGAATATCAACCTCTCTTCTTGCAAGGCCTGTTTTGCCTCAGCGAGTCTTATTGAAACTTCTGCAGTACTTTAGAGCATACAGCGTACTCATTTGTCGGACTCCTTTGTCAGGCTAAACCCGAACCGTTGCGAAAGTGCTGTTCCAGCCTTTGTCGTCAAGGTGAACTGTCACGAAAACTTCGCTTCACAGTAACTTCTTGCGAGGAGATCTCGGCACTAAGCCACGGCAAGCTCACTCTAAAGTGCGGACTGCCTCACGTAGCAAGCAGGAGTTCAACAAAGCTTGTCTTCATACGTTTTCCCGAGTAGCCCTTTTAGGAGCGGCCACAGTGGCACTCACATGCAGTACCAACGTGTGAACGTCTCAGAGCGCTTGTGCAAGCGCTCTCGTGGACTGTTAGGAGTCACACGCTGCTGGACAGGGTTGCATATCAGGCTATCAGTCGGGTATAGGTATGAGACTACGGCGACAAATCCCGCCCTTCTGTGCTTCGTTATTGACGTTATCCACGTCATTGTTTGTCGGTACCACAGTTCTCCTTTCTTTCTTTCCTGCTTCTTCCTTTCTCTCTTTCTTTCTTTCTTTATTTTCTCTCTCTCTTTCTTTCTTTCCTTTTTTCTTTCTTGCTTTCTTCTTTGATTCGCAATGCGTGGAACTGTGCCCCCATGCTAGGGCGCCGCATCCAACTGACGCGTATCAACTGGAGCAGTTTCCGGCCATGTGGCGACGGAAAGTGCCGCTCGTCTCATGGGATCCGCGGTGCACGGAGTCTCTAGAGCGAGCCTCGTGGCGGGCGCCGCAATGAGTACGGGTTGCTCCGTGCATTGCGTGGGCGCGTCGGGCGGCGGCCTGCATGCTGATGCCGACGTGGAAGAGGAGCCGCTAGGAAGAGGAGGAGGCGGATCGCGTTTCGAAACGCGATGGCGAGGCATGCCTTCGTGGCCAAGGACACTCGACGCGGTTCCTTCCGAGATAACGAGGAGCCGGGCTGTTGTGGACGATGAAGCCCATGCCGAGGGTGATGACGTCCCCGTACAAGACCCTTCGCCTTAATTAATTAGCAGGGCCGGCCGCATCGCTTTGGCCTTTACCCGGCGTTAGTAACGGCTGTTACGCAGGTGTTTAGCTCTATTATCGCGTCTTGAGGAAGTATAACATTCTCGATGCTTGTATTTGCGATGGTCTGAGCCCACGCTTCATCCACCCATGTTCGGAAACATAGGGAATTAAGTTGCTTATCAGTGGAACATTATGGCCGATGCCATTTTTTATAATTTCACACGACAACTTCCTAGAAAGAGAGTAAACGGACATTTATTAAAAGAAAGAGAAACCACTGGGTCCTTCGACCGGCATGGATGAAGCACTTACTCCAGGACCCATGAGTCGCTGCCGCCAGAATATTTTTAATAAAGAAAAAAAGGTATGCCGTGGGACACAGGGAACACAGAGAGTCTGAGGTACACGACGAATCTGCGTCGCTACCACGTGGCTATGCCTAACCTTTCAATCTTCCTACGATACTCGTGTCGATACGCCATTGCCTTTCTTTTTTATTCTTCATTTAGCTGTCTCTGAGGCTCCGCATTCCAGTTGCATAACTCTCCGCATCGTATCGACTGGTTGTGGGCATCTTGTCCAATGATAAAGGCATTCGAATGCATCTGTAGTCGACAACTGCTGGGAAAATGTTGTCCACGTCAAAATTATGCTTGGTTGATTCCTCGTGTGCTGTGGTAGTTATACGTAATCATTTATTCCACAAATCAACAGCAAAGATACACCTTTATTGTCCTTTACAACCTTCAGTGCATGGCCGGTTCGCAGCAGGAGCTACAGGTGTTCGAAAGGTACATTTACGAAGTACCCAGTCAACGTAAAGATGTCCCTTAGAAAGAAAATGCTTGCGGGCCGAATTTCTTCGATGTCGAGCTCCCCTTCGAAGTCTTTCAGTTTTAGTTACGTATATATACACACACGCATACAGACGCAGCACGCACAGAAACGCGTGCAACCATACAAGACGTATTGTCGAACCCCCGCCCCACTTTCGCAGCGAAAACATTCTTGCTACATGCCTGCCTTGTACCACTGGTCACAAAACGTACAACCGTCATCTTCCTTGGAATACATGCAGCAAAACAACAACAAAAAAGCACGTGCGTCTGCTTAGTCCGCTCCGTCATTGCGGCGCTTGCGTGAGTAAAAACAAGTAATAATCCGGAATATCCTTTGCACTTTCTAAGAATACGAAGGCTAAAATCTACTTGTGCCTTCTTAAAGGGTGCTTACCAGCGCAAACGACAGGGCAGGAGGGGACAGGAGAAGAGACGAGACAGAGCGCTGAACTGCCAACAATTTATTTCTTGTGAAGGTATTCGCTTTTATACAGTTACCAGTCGCACTAGTCATGCGCGAAGCACGATGACAATGCATAAGTACATCACATTGACAAGCAAAGGAACAACTTTTCCTTATCGGTGAGCGCGACAGAAGGTGTGCTAACACAAGCATTTTTCAATGAGCAAATCTTTTCTGCCTCTATGATCTCGCGTGTGGTACGATCCCTGCATCTAGCAACAATAGAATATAGCTCTGTCTCGTCTCTTCTCCTGTCCCCTCCTGCCCTGTCGTTTGCGCTGGTAAGCACCCTTTATGATGTTATACCAACACGCCCAATCCCACTGTCTCTTGTGCCTTCTGTTGATCTGCTGTTGGAGTTTCTGCTGATGTGCTGAACATCACAATGAAAGCCAAATACTGAAAGAATCACGTGTGTCTATTAGTCATTTACCAGCCGGGAACACGCAAAGGCAGTGTGTATACTTCAAGCTGCTTCATATGTCATAAAGAAATGTTTGTGAGCATAGATTACGAACCTCGTAGCCTTGTTGTCTAGACTCACTAGCATCTACGTTCACAATGCGCTGGGCCTATAGGCTGTGTTCCAATTCTCAGGTAGCACGTCGACAGTCGGGCTACGCAGAAGAGAAAGGGAACTCGGGACCCGCAAACACGGGGCGCGGGAACCCAAGTATCCTCTGTCGGGTCAAGTTCAACCCTCGAGTTCTTGTCCCAGTGTTTCTACGACTTCATAGACTAGAGCATTAGAAGGGTAGACAGTGCCCTGCGAGGCTGGCACCTACCCCACACAGGATCCTGTGAATAAAGTCTTTCTCTCTCTCTACGCAGACAGATTAGAAGACAGCACCGATCCCATGCTGTCCGAGAAACGGAACACGTCTGGACGGCTTTTACGCGACGACGCGCCACCTCACGTCGAGAAGAGCAGGCCAAAATAAACATAACTGCTGTATTTTCTGGCTTATTTTGTGTTGAAATGTAAACAAAAATTAAACGTTACTCACATTGAGCGTCTGGAGAAGTGTCTGCTTGTGTGCAGATGACCATTCCAGTGAGTTCTGATCTATCTGAGCGATTCCCTGAGCCCCCATCTTGTTTGGACAACAAAGTATATGGCCTTGTATATAGCCTGCATCGTATTTGTCTACGATGCGGTCTTTTTGTAGCTGTCTATTTTGCCTAAATACGTGATAATTGGACTGGGACTTAGGATGGCCGCCGTTCATTAAGCTGTCTATTTAGCCGCCTGACGGTAAGTATTAGGAACACGCCCATGGTTGCCTGTGGAGGGTGGGCGCACTTGTTCTGTTAATCAAGTGGCTTCTGCTGTGCTGTTGGAAGTAGAAGAATAGAGGTATAGGCCAGCTGGCGATTTGTAGCTCGGTGAAATGAAGCGCAATGAACGGTACATTAAAAGAGAGACACGCATGACGATTGATTGATATGGGGAGTTTAACGTCCCCAAACCACCATATGATTATGAGAGATGTGTAGTGGAGGGCTCCGGAAATTTCGACCACCTGGAATTCTTTAACGTACGAGAGACACGCAGGATGAAGAGCTTCGTCCTGTGTGTTTCTCTTTATGTTGTCCTCCTCTATAGCGCTTCATTTCACCAAGTACGTTGGAAGTAAATGTGGAATATATGTATGTGATAGACGATTCGGAGAGTCAAGTCTCACGGAGTGTGCATTAAAAAAAATGCAATTACACAGCAGAGTTGGCGTGGTCTAAGTTTATTTTAACGAAGAGCAAATGGTTTAATAACCTATATTCACGCTTTAGTGTACGTGATCATTGTGCAACATCTGTTTAACTTGACTCTTGCGGAAGGTGAAGTGACCATAACTGACGGTTCAACAAACTTGAATGTAACACATCATTAATGTCCGCATGCAGAATGTATATGATCGTCTATATAAGTTCCTCAGAAGTTTAACAAAACATTTAACGAAATTTCCATGAACACATTGAAGTCGGCAGAAATACCGCCTCAAGGCTTGACAATACATTAGCACCAAATTGAGCACAAACTTCAACAGCACATCATTAGAGTAATTATCATATAGATCACCACATCGGCAGAAAATTCAAAAGCAGATGAACAGAAGTACCAAGTAGGCTTTCGCCTTCGCATTTCTAAAAAGTGCTAAGCAACTCAACAATTTTTCCAGGTGAGTCATGACAACCGAATAAAGCTTGTCAGTTTAAGATATTGCGTTAAGTTAGGTTTGTTAGTTCTGGTGCGTGGTGTTGGAGTAATTTATCGTTCATCTGTATATTGCCAAATGTCTACGTTATGGCAATGACAATATTAAGCAGCTTCTTGTGGAGGACGGAAGCATCCACACCTGTCTGCGTAAAGGGCAAGCTTCTAGTGGGAATTGTGTGTTTGGATGCTTGTTATGTCGTAAGAGGAGATTTCAGTTTCTTTCTCTTCTTTCGCGTGCGCAGCGCCCCGAGTGGTGACCCCTCCCGAGAACACTCGTAACCGGACGGGCGGCCGTGCTGCCATGACGTGCGAGGTGACTGGCTACCCTGTGCCCACTGTCGAGTGGCGCGTAGATCGTGGAGAAGGACCGCTCAAGGGACTGCCAAGTGAGTGTATACTTTGTAGTGTTTCAAGTAAAGTAGAGGGGTAAGTGTAGTTGCGAAGATTTGAACAAATAACCGTCTTTGTATAGGTCGCTTCGCTGACAGTATGCACTTGACGTTGTGCGTGAGAAGCGCAAGTGGTGGGGCCGCCGTCTCGAAGGTCCGCGCACTCGCCGGACGCGCAAAGAACTTGCTGCACGTGCTGTGTCCGAGATCCGCGCAGTGACTATGATGACTAAAGACTCCCGGAATAAGCCTTGCACGCTGATGCACGTACAGAACGAACGGCGCGTATGAACGGGCCTTAAAAATGACGCGGCGAGGGTACTGCTGCCTTGCGGATTTCAAAGCTTATGCGGGATGTCGATCATCATCACCGTCATGGTTGCGGTTGACAGGAAAGCATTGCAGGTCAATGTGATCTCGGCTTTTCGCAATAGCACTGACTTAGAACAAGAGCCCGCAAACTTGAAGAAGTGTTGCGGTATGTTCGTAGAAGCAGTGGTACCGAAGGTCCACATGGCGTGGGTGTTCCCCACCTCTTTGATCTTGCTATCATATGTCATCGCATATATGCAACCGGAGACAGTATGCAGGCTTACGGTGGGATAATTCTGGCTCTGGTAAAATGAACCATGCTAGTTTCTGCAAGCAGCGTCTAACGTGTAGGATGGTCAAGTCGAAGAAAGGTACATAAATGTTAAACCTGTAGGATGCAGCGCCAGTCCATTTTGTTGTAACTATATAGAGATGGTAGACTGGAGCAACTTGCGTACGCTAAACACAACTTAGCTAGTTTCCAACCACTAACATTGGTGAAAAAGCTCGTTTTCTTGGGTCGAATTCACAAAGAACGAACATACTTCATTATTCACAATGGGCCTGTAGTTTGACCTTGGTGGCTGTTCAGCACATCACAGGCATCGACCCATCGCTTTATTAGAAGATAACGCAGAAGACTACACATGTGACCGGTATTTCAATCTTGTTAACGATCTTAGCGGAAGGTAATTATGTCTATAAATGTACACTCTCAGAGAAAATCGAGAATTCGGGGAGTACTTCTGCCGCACAACCGCACGCTGATCCTTAGTCGTAGGCAAGTGTGCAAGTTACCACGCGAGTGATATTTCAGCATGCCTTCTACTAAAAATAGCAAGCCACCCTCCCCGTAAGCAGTCAAGCCAGATACAAGGTATGGCGATGTGCGCGTCAGCCTAATCCGCATGGATCTGGGCTGATAAATGAAATCAAAGTGACCCGCAAGTTACCAACTGATTTGTTCTGCTTCAGAAAAATAACGAGATAAACAGATAACTGATAATCGGAAGCTCACTATAGGTTAATCAGAATGTAAATACATATTGTGCTACCCTGCACAGGGGGGTGCGCGTAGACTGATAGGTAGAAAAATAATGTGTTACCTGATGCTCAATGCTTGATCCTTTCAGCGGACAGCTCTCGCATCAGCGTTCAGAGCCGCGGCGGACCGGACAGCTTTGAGGTGACCAGCTGGCTGCAGCTGCTCGACCTGCGTCCCGAGGACACGGCCACCTACTGGTGCGTGGGTTCCAACGAGAACGGAGAGACGTCGGCCGCCGCCAAGCTCAACGTGCTGCCTTAGTTGTTGACTATACACTTTTCTTTGTTATACACTCGTACGCTTGTTTTCTTCTTTCATTATTTGTTTTGTTTCGTCCATTTGCAAGTCTCACTTCTTGAGAGATGTCTTACAAGTGATTTAGTGTTTGTATACTTAAAAGACCAAAGCTGCTTGTCCTTAATTGTCCTGACACGTCATTTCGTGTTCTAAGAGCTCGTGTGCACTCGTGTAACAAGCGAGGGATAAAATTTCTTGAAAAGTTAGACGAAGTTCTTTTTGTAGTCCTCCGTGACAGAGGCCTCCTTGTCCAGGATGTCACGTGGCAAGGCAGCGAGCATCGCCTGGTCCACCAGTCGTGGCTGCTCATCAAAGCACAGTGCTTCATACTCACTAATTCAAGAAGAAATAGTAAAGAAAGCCTACGCGGATAACTCTGCATATGGTTATCATTAGACGTGACGAGGTGGCGCGACGAGTTATCACAGATTTCACGTGTGGCTGATTAGTACCGAAAGAATTTCCGCATTCACAATAAGAAAAAAACATACTGACGTTTATAACTAGTGTTGTTGTGGAAGGTGTACACAGACCTGAAACGTTTAGGGCATTAACGCGCTCACGGTAAACAGCGTTGCTCGCTACTTACGACCTGCAATAAAGATTACTTCTAGCTGAAACTGTGGAAAACGCAGACTGAAGGGAGACAGCCATGGAGAGAACAAAATTGACATTCTTGACGACCGCGTACAACGTCCGGCATACTCTGTCATCTTACGTAACGATGCCTTCTGCTCCATATTGCATTTATACCAGCACCAGTGACGACACATGAACGCTCAAGCTGAGATTCTAGTCGCGTGTCAGTTCACATTACTCACTGCCAGCACGCTTCGCCACGCCTGCAGGATGCATGGGGGCACGATGCGCTTTTTGACGCGCACAGACTCTTTCTCGCAATGCCACGCATATCATCCTTTGTTTTTTTAAATATATAGTGCTGGAACATTCTACCAATCTGTTATTTCTTTTAACTGTTACTGTTTGCTGGCATGAGAGCCAGAATTTTTTTTTTTCTCCTTCTTGTGAAGAATGGCATTCGCTTGTGCGGTGTATTCTCCCTGTCTAAATAGCGAAGCAATAAAGACCTTTACAAAAGTTGTTTCTTGACAGTTTATTGAGGCGAAACCATATGTGTCTCAGGTGAACCTGACTTAAGCTAAAAGAAGCGGCGTGGTGTACGAGATTCGCGTGACGAGCTGCATGCCTCATGGATCGGGGCGCGCAAGCTGCGCGTTCACTTCTCTTTTGCGGCCTTCGCGAGATTCAATGTTCACGGTAGGTAAAGTATAGACACAAGGGACGGCTTTAGCCATTGTGTCGTCTTAGGCGAATGCTTAAGCGACTATGGGTTTGCTTTGGTTTGGGAAAACCATACTCATGAAAGCCCGAAGCCGCGGGTCCGGGTACACGGTGGGCCGCTCCCACAATGGGATAGTAAGGTTGAGACCCACAGCCGCATCATGGGCTCTTTGTGCAGCCCAATGTTGTGATTGTAAGTGCGGACTCCTCATAGCAGAGCCCCACTCGGCGATGCTGTAACGGTGCCGCGTACAGAAGGGCATTCCCAGAGCGTGTGGTGTAGAGTAGCTAAAGCGCCACATTTCATTCAGGAGTTAGTAAATAAACATCAGGATAAAGCCTGCGGAGAAAGGCAGGGTTACGGTCCGTTTCCGTCTGAAGCAATCTCCATGTCAACGTCTGTACCCTAACTTCCATGTGGTCGGGAAAAAAAACTCTTATCTATATCAAAATGCTGGGTAATTCAATTATAAGTAGTTCGCGGATCTCCATTTATCAGATCTTCAGGTCTACCCTGAGGTCCCCCATGGCCTTTCATGGAGCCACGTACGTTATCGCTGGAAAATGCAAGAAATATATATTTTTTCTTGTAGCAGACAACTGCCCGTCAAAAACGCTGTGATCGCTTAGCAGCCAAGATGGTGCTCTGCTAAGCACGATAGCACCGTTCAGGACAAGGTCTTGCACGAGCCCTCACTGCTTGATTTTGTTTGATTTCATTATATCCCAGTGACAACAATTACATCTTGGGACCTTAACAAGACACCCCTGACTAGATATCAGATATACACTGTATTTCCGAAACAACACCGGCGGACATCCCTTGCAGGTTGATTTGGCTGCACTTTCCTAAACCCAGGGTTATCTCTTGCAAGTCCCAAAGAAGTCCCGAAGGACACACTGTGTACATGACAGGGAAATTAAGGGAAGTATTTTATTCAGGTTGTTCTCTAAAAGCAGTCTTCTATAGCATTTTTTACTTGCTCAAATTTGAATTCCAGAAGTTCAAATCATGAATAAGTTTTCCTGTGATTTCAGATGCTGAGTTATTGGTTATTCTGGGCATGCAAAGAAAAACTGAAATGTATTTATTTATTTATTTATTTATTTGTTCATGTACCCTAAAGGCCCGAGGACATTACATGGGTGGGGGGGGTGAGGCGTAATAGTATACATACATAGAATCAACACAAGCACTAAAGTAATAAAAGGTTTGAAAAACTGAATAATATCGTGCAGTAGCTAAATAAAAAAAATCGACTAAACCGCTCACAATGTTTCTAGCAAACTGCATTTTAGAAAATAACTAATCAAGTTAGCACCTGAAAGCATTGAAAGATTTATGCGTAATTTGAACTTCAGTAAACTTAGTCACTTTCATTAAATAAAATTACCCATATGGCAACGTATAATGCTGAACGTCTGCTTGTGCTGTAGAAACACTGAGCGAAATGTATTGCATATACACTTTTTTATATAAAAAAAGCACAAAACATGTATATTGCGCGCTGTGACTAAATGTTGCATACATGCATAAGCATGTTTAAGTTTATATATAAACTGGAATGAAACATCGAATAAATATGTATCAACAAGTGTCGCAGATACTTCAAACGAGAAAAAAAAAGACTGTGATATAACAAAAAAGTACATGACACGCTTCTAGGAAGTCATATTCAGTAGGGTCGTACCCATCCATGTCTCCGACTGATTCCCTGCCGTCTTGTGTTGCTTTGGAAGTGACCTGTTAAATTAGGAGGTTTTCTTTAAGCAAATGCAAAGAAAGCAAACACCTCTATAAAATGCTATTTTCCAGCTACATGCATGCCACTCAAGAAAACTGTCAGAGAAAGCAAAAATTATTGTAAATAACCGATTTTATTTCGGTTATTTACAAATTATTGTAAATAACCGAAATAAAATGCAAGCTTGCTGTCACTCTTACACATTCAGAAAGCGAAGTTCTCTACACAACAACATATTTCCACATGGTGCACTGGTTGTGACAGCTAACGTGTTCTGGCACTGAGCATGAGATGACTGGATTAAGACTGAGCTGATGGAGTCGCATTTTTATGGAGGTATAACAACTGATATTTATATGCGATTATATGATTATGAGCGATGCCATAGTGGAGGGCTTAGGCAACTTTTACCATTTTGTGGTGCACAGACATCGCACATGGGCCTTTAGCATTTTACCTCCATTAAATGGGACTGCCACTGCGACGATCGCACCCACGACCTTCAGGTTCGCAGCCTAGCGCTGTAACCACTTCACCATCGAAGCGAACAGGCATAGTGCCATTGTGTCTACATGCTTTCGTTGTAAACCGTATCATTCTACCCCATGGGGTAAAAATAATATAAAGCCATCAACTATGGCGCATACTTTTCTTAGAGTTTTTGAAAGTGAAACTCCAAAATATATTGTGCAAAAATATTTTCTTTGACAAAAGGTGAACAGAGACGGTATCGCAAGGGCAAGGGCTCTGTCGGGGCAAGGTTGGCTGCACGAGACACCTTCTCTAACGTGGCACTAAAACGAACGGCCCCCAATACCTGCAGATATCCCGTTTTGGCACATTGAAAACAATGTACGGCAAGTTTGACGACTATAAACTTACCTCTCTATCTGCTCTGAGACTTTTCAGGGTTTTTGACGTCCATATATTATCGCTGTACAAAGGCTGAACCACGGAGCTCAGATGTAGATGTAGATGTAGATCCTAAACTTGTGGCTCACACTCACCATAGGGGATTCGCTAAGAATCAGGTAGCTTAACAAAATGGAATATATATATTTAAATACTATCGAAATTATTATCACAGAAATATAGATTTTTGTTAATTATTTCTGAAAAAAATGTGAATGAATTAGTTCCCACTAAAGGAGCAATAAATGATTGACATCAAAAAAAATTTCAGTAGTCTACTTTGGTTAACTGAGAACCTTTTGGAATCAGGGCTATTCGAGTAAATCTCTCAGACCATACCGGAGGTAGGACTCGCAGGCGTCACGCGTCGATCGTTCGCACGCAGCTGCTGAGAATAAAGCGCGATACAGCACAATTATGGTGAATAATTCTGCGAAAATTTAGCAAATTCGAAGTTCATATGATGTATTTAAGGACAAAGTATTGATGAGGTAATTTCTGAAAGCAAGTATAATTTACCTTTTTTCGCCTTGTTTCAGGTTTTCAAAGACTTTTGAAGTGGCGCGGTGTTAGAAAGAACAAAGTTGATCGGAATTTCTGTCATTCACTAACGCACACAGCCTTCCCGTTTTGAAAACGCGAAATTCCAATTGAATACGTAACCTGTATGCTGAAAACATATTCTTTGTTGTTGGTGTTTAATAATTCTTACGGAATGCATATTATTCTTTTTTTTACTTCACTCGATGATAACCTATGAACGAAGCAAAATGTAGCTCATTTTTTGAGATGATGGGTGCCAAGCCAGAGTCACCATTACCAAAGCAGCACACAAAATGTGTATGGAACTACGTTTTTTTTTTTTTTTTGCGGACGTCTGAGACAGGATATATTTAGAAAATCTCTTCTGGGGCACATTTAACTCAAATCGTAAAGGATGTCCATTTGCTGTCCCTCACAGGTTCATTGATGTCCGCGGATGTTCGGGGTTGTCTCGGATGTCCGACAAATACTGTGTTTTCGTTGGGATTTGATTCATTGCATTACACGTGATCGCAGGCGAAGGGGAAAGCCATTTAAGAATGCCTTGAAGGAGTCCTTCACCCCCATGCAGTCTAAGACGGCAGTTTAGGTACAAGCATGTCCTGAACATTGTAAAAACATAGACTTTGTAATAAATCATTCTAAGCAAAACGTGAATTTCAACGAACCACCAAAGTACACATCCATTGTTTGTTACCCTATTCCCAATAGAGAACGTCCTGCATTAGTCTACATTTTGTTCACATCAACGTCATGCACCCCAGACAACACTTAACCACTAGTATGGTATTACGTTAGGGACATATTAAGTGTACAATTATATAAATAGGGCAATTAGACAAATATCTTATGCTAAAGGGAAACCACACAAGTGATACAATTTTAAATCGCGACCATCAGTTTGTTTAGAGTTGTAATCATTTGTTACAGGCGGAAGTTTATTAGAAGCCACATGCTGACCGTAACAAGTTTGACAGTGTGGAACATTCCATATCTGTGTTGCTCCAGTATCATATGTAACGCTTTTTTCGGATGCAGCTTTACTAATTACGTGAAAAAGAGACTCAATCCTGGTGCTCGTCATTGGGATCAGAATCAAATATATTTTAATTAGTACAAAGGTTACCTGTCGATAATGTACAAAAGAAGACCCAGAAGTCAAAGACTGCAATGGGACCTCCTTTTCAAAGTAAGTCAGAAATATATGTTACAGCATAATGTGAAAACAGAAATGATTGAAGTTCAACAGAAATCAGACTAGGAAAAAAGAGCACACAATGTAGAAGAACTAGGACATCAGTAAATATACACAATGAATAGGATTACGAAGATACGTAAAAACCAGAGACTGAGATCATTTAATGTTTTAATTCCTTTTTCAAATCCACGGATATTTAGTGTTTTTATTTTGATACCTATTAAATTCCAGACAAGAATGAGAAAAAGACACTTTGCTTGTATTCGATATTCACGGAGCTATGTGCACACGTATATGTCTTGTATTTCATTTATTCTGAACTTTCTAAATAGCTCTTCAGACGAATGCACAGTTGGTGAATTTGCAATTTTCGAAAATATACTTCTTGCATAAATAATAGCC